AAACGAATCCGTCAGGCGGCGGAACGATCCACCTCCACCTGTCCAGAGTCTTGTGGACGGGGGGCCTTATGGTGGGGGAGGTAAGGAGGCAGCGAGTGAGGAATGGGTAATTAGTGTCCCCACGTTCCCATTCAGGCAGCTCCTTTTCAAAACCTTGGCCTCGTCTAAACAGTTGGTTCCCAGGGCACCCAAACATTCTGTGAAACCTACCCCCTTCAGGAAAACCACACACTTGGCAAGCCCCACTCAGAACCCGTCGATCCTGATGTAACTCCAGCTGTGTGACCAATCCTCCAGAAACATGGGTAGCCAACAACGAATCCTCCAAGGCCTCACCTTTCTTCCTGAGCTCCTCGCAGACCTGGGCAATGGGCTCGAGCATGGGCCTGGAGCAGGTGGTGCCGGCATGCCCCCACTGCAGGTCACCGACAGATGCATCCTTAGTTGCCAGGTCCACGAGGCGCTTGAGGCTGTGGCTCCTAAGCTTACTGAGGTCGATCGGCATCTCGGTCGGCATGAACCACTTAGAATATATCTCAGGAGCCCATCGAATCCTCTGGAGCGTGCACGCGACAGCCCCCGTGGGACCGCGGACCTCAGCCCAGGAAAGCTCGGGAAACTTCTGAAGGTAGAACCTGAAGACCTGCTCCATCTGCTGCTGGGGGGCCCACGAGCCCCAGAAAGCCTTACCCCAGAACACCAATGGAGCCGAGTTGCCGATATACACTGGATCGGCAGCCTCATTACCCGAGAGCGCATACTGGATAGTTCTTGTCCGCCCTCGAGCTGGTCCAAAAATGCCACTGCAGATCTGAGGTACTGCAAGCGCTTGTCGGAAACTCCCATCACGCCAATTCCGTAACTGCCAGCCGGGAGGGCGCCCATGCGAGAGACCGAAGTTGGCTTTTTTGAGCTGGGATTTCAGCGAACGAAAACGACAAGCTCTCAACCTGATCTTTCGGATCCGAGTCTTCGGGATGTGAGCGGCACGACCCCGAAGCGAGTAATCACGCCCAAAATTCCGAACCGAATGCACCGATTTGAATCCCCACGCCTTAAGCCCTGCACATATGCCAGCTGCCAGTTCGGCAGTAGAAGCAACCACTTTGCCGTTACTTCTGGATATTATCAGCTGCCTGGCCTCGAGCCTGTTGCAGAGGTCGCGCGTGGCCTTAACGGCCCAGTCTCTGACTAACTTGGCAGTTGCAATTACCTGAATCGTGATGTCATCTACCACGTTAAAGAACCTGCACAACCTGTGTGTACGAACCAAGCTATCAAGATCAGCAATGATAAGAACCCGTAACAGTGTTGTAGCATAGCAGCAACCTGCCAACATAGTTGCATACACCACTGTGGGCCTATAAACGAGGAGGCCCATGAGGAGCACGCGCGGGCAAGAATACTGGACCAGGCAGAGGCGCAGGTGGTATGAGGGGAAACTGTGCTGCCGAGCAGCAGACAATAGCTGAAGGTGCTTCACCTTCTCGTACGCTTTGGTGAGGTCAATCAGCACATTCGCAACATCAAAACGGTTTATCGACGCATGTTCTGCTGCAAATGTTTGCTCCCAAACCGTTCTCTCACATGATTTCCCTTTAGTCCCATACGAAAAACCCCTCTGGTGATCCAACTCCCATTTCGCTGCTACACCTCTAGTACACCTGCTCCAAAGACGGACAGTCATGCTCAAAAGTGCGATGAGCCGATGACCGTCGTCATCAGGCTTGGGCAAGGCTGGCTGCAAAGTAAGCGACATCTGAGACGGCATCATACCATCACGGAGCATCCAGCCCCACAATGCATTCAAAGCTTCCAAACACGGATCTGAGAGAAGACGAACATCACGAGGTCCGAGCCTGTCCACACCGTGAGCCGTCCACGTTTTCTTCTTCCTAGCGACCGATCTGATCTCGTCAGGGCTGAAGCTCATGATGGGGCTGGGGAGGTCCTCCAACATGTCTTTCAGCTTCTGGAACACACCTTTTGGATCTTCAAGGGGCCTGTTGGAGCCACTGGAGTCCCATATGCGTTCCCAGTCCTGGAGGTTCTGCTCGATGAGGTCTGCGGGCCCAGGAGGTGCTTGTCCTTATCGGGGTACCGCAGGGCGCCAGCCCACTGGGTGCTTAGTGCACTGGTGGGCTCGACCTGCTCCTGCCTGCACTGCCTCCTGGACAAAGCCTCGCCACCGCTTAGCGCGGGAGCTGGCAAACTGCGCCTCGAGCTTCCTAGCGTAGCCCCCAGCACGCTCATGCAAGTCATCTAAAGCTTCTGAATCGCACCAAGCTAGATATCCTGCATCCAGATACCACATACACTTCCATTCTTCCGCCACGGATCTCTGGAGTACCAAGTAGTATCTTGGCGTGCAGCGCTGCAGCTCCTACAGTGTCCTTCACAGAATCGTGGGCTCGGATCCTGGAGAGCTCCTGGGCCCAGTTCCCCCACTTCCTCCAGGCCCTGCTGACGGGGCACGCCGCAGGGTAGGGTCCAGAGGAGGGGGGGGGCAGGGATGGTTTTTAGTTTCCAACCCCGTCCTCGTCCAGTATATCTTTTCCGCTCAGACTCAGGAATACCATGTGCTGCTAGAAATTCCTTTTCTAACAATCCCATAAAGTTCTTGAAGACTGTGTTCATCTGCTGCTGGTCTCCTCCATCCTCCAAACCTTGAATAACTCCTTCCCATTCAGCTGGTGGTGCAGGATGGGGGCCTTGTGGGCGCTCACGTGGGAACTTACGAGGTACCTGCAGAACCGCGATGCACTGTGGGACCAGCTTACCTCGCAGCCGCAAGAGCACTGGCCGATGGGGCTTGATAGCTGCAGTCAGCGCCACCGTGCACGAGACCACCGACGGAGCCAGAGCATCAGACACAACGAAGTAATCTAACGTGCGCCATTCCCTCTTACCTGCCGTGCAAGTAGGAGAAGCGGGAGCAATGATACGGCCTCGAAGTTTACTCGCCCATCCAAGACGACCTAAGAGCGCAGGAGGTACATTCCAGTCTCCCCCGATCAGAAAAGGAAGTGAAGCCGCATGCAGAAACTCCCCCAGACGACTCAACAATTGGGTTCCCTCTGCCCCAAAGGGGTCTGTGGTAGGCATATGTACTGATACTGCCAGGAAGCCTCCAGGTATTACAGCATTTATCCATTTCACCAAGACCCGATGATGAAAAGGAAGAGGTTGAGGCCGTCCTGGTGGGTTCCCCATCCCGACGCATGCTGGAACCCCGATCGCAGCTCCCCCAGATACGCCTCCAGCTTCCGTAGTACGAGAAGGACTTACCGCTGCCAGCAAACCCTGATCACACAACATCTTCTCGCAGTCGGTCTTCCGATCCTGCGAGACGCCTACCTCTTGCAAGAGAAACACGTGGGGCCCTCTTGGAGAAAAACTTGCTTTGCCGCTACTGACTGCTTTCCGAAAAACCGCTTCATTTCTGCGAACCTGCGCCTGAGCCTCGACGTAGGCCAAGCACGGCTTCCAGCTCGTGGTGTTCGCCGTGCGCAGGTACAGGTCACCGATGTTAAAGGCCTGGCTTGCGGCCTCCAGCCGCCTCCGTGCCCTTGCCGTTGCCGTTGCTGCCCTTGCCGCTGCCGTTGCCGCTGCTGACGCAAGACTGGGCCTTCTCGAAGAGCTCGTCGATAGATGGAGCTGGCTGGGGAGGGCTGGGTGCCGCAGGCTCGGCCCCCGCCGCCGCGGCCTCCGCAGCTGGCGCTGCAGGGCTCGAGGGCGCCCCAGGTGGCGCCTGGCCTGGGCGCGCACCACCTCCGTCAGCTCCAGCATCTCCATCGCATCTCCTCCTCTTGGCCTGCATTCGCTGGTTGAAGCTGCGCTGCTCCTCAACCATCTTGGCGCACTGAGCCTGCAAGGATCCAAACGCCTGCTTGGTCGCCTCCTGCACCAGGGCCAGCAGCGACGCCTTACGAGTGTTGAGCTTCTCCCTCTCGGTCTCACTGATCTCGATGCCTTGAAGGTCCAATCCAAAAAGGCCGTTATCATCGAGGTCGATCTGCTCCCCATCCAAAAGCGCCTGCAGACTGATGCGCTGCGCGACGTTGATAACGATGGTCTCCTTGGGCTCCACCTCCTCCGAGGCGAGCTTGGCCACCGCTTCCTTATACGTTTTCTCACAACGGTCGAAGGTGGTGAAGGCATCAGCAGCGCGAGCTCGCGCTTCCTTGGCCTGCACCTCCAAGGACTCAGCAAGCTTGACTGCGGGCCTGCTCCGTAGCGTACTGCGCCATGCCGACCGTCGGGGACTGGGGCCTGGCGGCCTCCTCAAGCTGCTGAATGATGGCCTCGTACCTGCGAGAGGCCGCAACATCTCCGATGGCCGCCATGGACTTTTGAGCATCACGAAGGCTGGGCAACTGCTCGATGGTGTAGCAGTGCCGGACTGCACCGCCGCCTGCACGCCAGTCACCACCACCAGCTGTTTGTCCCAGCTGCAGTCCCACCGCGCGAGGCGGAGCAGGACCCCCACCAGGGCCAAGAGCAGCATCGCGAGCAGGTGGAAGCGCAAGGCTCCAGACCCCCGACGGAGGGACTCCTGCCGCTGCCTCGACTTCTTTGCGGAGTGCACCGCAATTCTTGCACCAAGTCCACCAATCCGCATTCTTTGCACAGTTGCACTGTGTGCACTTCCATCTCGTTTGCTGCCATGTTTTCTTCTTCCATCCAGCACCATCTGCACGTGGGGCCATCAGGCGAGAAGAAGTACGTGAAGGTGTGAGGGATGAGGTCCCTCGGCCTAAGTGACAGAGTACCGTGGGCCGCGCGCGCCCCAAGCAATCTGAGCCGATTACTCTTGAGCCAAAATGGCTACGGATTCTCCTCCTCCTCCTCCTCCCCCTTTTCCTCCTCCTCCTCCTCCTCCCCCTCCTCCTCCTCCTCCTCCTCCTCCTCCTCCTCCTCCTCCTCCTCCTCCTCCTCCCCTCCTCCTCTCCCTGTCGGCAGCAGGGGCGCCCCGCCCCCCCCCGCCCGCGCCGCCCCAG